TTTAGAACAAAAGGTAAAAGAACACCTACCTCCAGTACGACGAAGTGGTTTCAGAAAACCATCTGCCATGTTGCAGGATTTTATTTCTTCTTTATAATATATTCCAGCATCGTTGTAGACTACTTGAATTGAGCAACGCCATTTTATCTCAACGTACTGTACCGTATTGATATGGTATTTCCAAATCTATATTGTTTGATCTCCTCAATAATCATCCATTATTATTATATAAACACAAAAATATAACGAGACCAAATATTTGAGATAAGTTACACAATCATAGTTCATCTACCAATACCAATAGATCAACGCAGTCTCAAGTCGATAGGTACTGATCATTCAAATGATTACTTGCCTCGTTTGTTCAGATCGGATACAATCACATGAACATCGATAGAACAACTTGAAGAAGCATCGAAAAATTATGATTTCACCTCGGATTTCACTCATTTCAATAGGGTTTCCTTAACGCTCACCGCAAAGAATAACAGGAAGAAAAACCTCAATTGAAAATGAGCACACATAAAGCAGACCTCCAAGATAAAGTCAATAACGAGTTGCCATGTTCAAGCTTGAATTACTGCATTCAACTGCCGTTGCATCGAGTTGATCAGATTTCTCAAACAGTCTTGAGGAATTGTCTCATCTTCGAGCTCAACATCATCTTGAAGGGTGATGAAAGTTGAGAGGAATTTTGAGAAATTTGATTTGAAAAACAAAATACTTTTCTACATTTTGCCGGTTTTGTTTGCTTCCAATGTCCTATGCCCCTATGGCCTGGTGTTTCTCCCCGATCTCTTTTGGCAAAAGTTCAAGGAGCACTCAATAGTATATTGTTCGTCGATTGACAGGCCGATATTTCAATTTAAGGTCACTTTCGAGGGTTTTGCGTGTTGAACAGAGGTGAGATTTTTTTTACTGACTTTGTTCGGGTCGAATCGGCATGGTACCGAGGCTTTACCAAGTAAAAGGGGGAAATTTTGAACTGTACAAAATTTCCTAAGCAAATCCCAGAAGGAACGTTAAGATTTCGTGAAACGTTATTACTGGTGTGTTAACTGTTTAGGAACAAAACATTCTACACGGTCCTGCCCTTCTAGATCTCTTTGTCGATCGTGTGGAGAAAAGGGACATCACAGCCTCTTACATTTTAGTACCAATGATCCTAATAATTTTGTCCAGCCTTCCTAGTTAGATACTTCAACACATTCCCGAGATCGTAATCGTGAACCTTGCCCCAATAATAACTCCACATATCAGAATCACCCCTCTTCCTGGGTGGCTTCTTTAACAGGTATAGTACCCAACATACAGGGTGTCCTTCTTGCTTCAGCTCAGGTAGAAGTATTAGATAAATTGAACTGTAAATAATTACATTTGCTGACATGGTATTGAAATAGGATATGATATATTATTTCATTTTAATTTAACTAACTACGAACTGAAGTTGATCGACGTGTACGGAACAAAGGGCAAATCCGAGGGCAAGTCGTCGTATAGTTCTTGAAGAGTCTCTGGTAAGACCGTACCAACGAATGAGTCCCTGGAGTCTGGACTAGTCTGGAGTTCATGTCAAAGATGTACTTTATATTATATATACGATCCGAATTATTCAGAAGTACCTTCCTTCTTCAAGCGGGATTTCTCATAGTAGAAGGTATTTCAAATTATCGTTTCTGATCAACTCAACATCTCGAAATTGTATTCACATTGGGAAGTTTTGTCAAAAGATGATCGAATTGTTCACTATGAAACCAAATATCAAATAGCTGGTTTCATATAACCTTGGTCTCAACATTGTTCTTTTCGATCATTACTTGACGTTTAAACGAAATAGAAATTGTCGATGTTCATTTGTAGAAGTCACAAATAATGAAATGCCTCGTGAAATGCACATTCCCATCTTCTCGATCTTTTCTTTATTCATGTTGTAAACCCGTGTAAACTGCTCTTATTTTCTCAATTTCTCTTCATACAAAATTCTTCAAATCAACGTTTTTTTCTTCACGGTCAGCATGTCTGATACCAGATTGTGTTTAAAATTATTGCTTCTGATCAATCTTGGTTCTTGCTCAAAATAATCCCTCGGTATTTCAAGCAAAGAAATTGTGTTGGCCCAAGCAGCAATCCAAGTTGCGTCAACACCGAGGATATCACACAGGCGTATTTGAGAATCCCTCTATTTATTCCACTCAGTAGGAATGATTTCTGTTCAATGGTTGTTCTCCTGTTTGATTCCATCCTATTGTCCTCCCAGCCCGTATATCAACGTTGCGTATAATTAGTCTGCGATAGCAGTTATGGATTTTCGGTATAAATCTTCGTTATCTCCGGTGATCTGTATAGGTGCGATGCCGACCAGTTTTGTCCATTTTCTTTATCCCTGTTTATATTGCCATTGCAATTCCAGGTCGCGTTTGCCATGAGCGCGGGCTGAACTTCAGATTAAATATGTGCTTTGTCTGGATTAATGTAATGAGGTAGGTAAATAACTGGGAAATTAACGTTCAGCGATGGTTTATGCACCTGGAAAGGTGTTAGTAGATTAACGCGATTAGGCAGCATAAGCACAGAAGGTATAGCACTCGGAATAGCAGAAGATACTCAACTCCATTCCCGATTAGGTATATCCAAAATAATGGTATATGGGTTGCGTGCAAGAAAGTGTCTAATGACCAACCCTGGAGGTGAAGCATTTTTTTTAATTGCATTACCTCGTTGGTCCCAGCACTGGGACCTGCCGACATCTCCAGCAGGCCAAAAGTTTGGTAATATATAAATAAGGTAGGTAATTGACAGATGCATGTGCTTTGAATTTGTTTATAAACAGTTCTCAAAACATTAACATACCAATCTGTAGGTCGATCGAATGTTATGAGATGCTATCAATGTTTTATAATCATCTTGATGTACCTAACAATTCTCAGACTATTAACAATATCAAAATATTTGACATTTTCGTTAAAATAATTTCGATTTCAATTTTGGCACTCCTGATTGCTTTGGATAATTCGTTGGCTCTGCAAGATATCCGAGGAGATATTTAATTAAAGTCCATTTGATGCAATTCAAAATGCTCTTCTCATGCCGTTTAGAATGATTGAATTCTTACGCGTGTTTTCAGTTTCCTCTTCTTAGTACGAGTCCACGAACGAGTCTCAGTAAGTACTAAATTGCCCATATCAATAATGTTCAGTATCTACTATCTAGCATGAATGTCTTCGATGGAATTGTGATTTCAGCCATTTCATGGTTGTACTGTTTTTTGTAATGAACTAGACACCAATTTACGCATAATGATCGAAAAGTTGTTGTGGCGTTATGATCACCTTCGGCATTGTGTGTTTATTAGGCAAAGTTGAGCTTTGCATTGCGACTTGCGACAGTGTTTTCCCGGTACATAGGTAGATCGAGAGGTAGATATATACCTTCGTTTCGGCCGGTTTCGGCAACATGACAATTGACAACTTTCGATAACTTGTCCACCGACGCTTTTCGGGAAAATGACCAGTTTCGGCAAAGTGTCTACGACGGCGACTAATATATTTCTGCTGAATATTGAGCTCGATATTGAGTAGGTATGTTTGTGTGATATTTTCACGTAGCCAACAAACTTATTGCGATACATATACCTAATTATTTCAATCGATTCAATGTTACTTTCCAGCTCCCTTTCTAATCTTATGATTGTTCCTCGGATTGTGGTCTGCTCAAGGTATTATATTTATAATATATTATACCTCGATATATACTCAGTGTACGTTCCTGCAAAAATTCAATTATGAATGCAACAATGCAATGAAATAAAAAATAATCGCTACTCACAATCGCTGATTTATTTCACTTTAATTGTGTTGTATGTAATTATGAGTGAATACCTAATAACCTCGCTAATAGCATTACAGATAAAATCGAGTGGTTCATAGAAAATTCCTCGGAAAATTCGAATTTTGTAATCAGCACGCATTTATCTGTAATGAACTCAAGTTTCAAAATAACGGTAAAACTCGGTAAAACTGCACTGGATGGATGGATTTTTTTTCCAAACAATTTTTTGTCTGAAAAACACGAATTTGATAAGAAAATGTGAACAAACCGCTATTCATCAAGATATTTCAAGAAAAAGTTCGAAATCCCGCCTTTTTCCTCCCTGTATTGGATGCATTTACAGCTATACTTGCTCTTCTTATTTTGTCATTGGACACTTTATATACTGATGATGTACTTCAATGCCGCATTTTTATATAGAAAATTCAACACGAAATATGATTTTAATGGCGAGTTTTTCTTATTCAATGAACAATCATACCAGATGATGGCCATTTAATCAATAGTCAATCCAATTACGAGATGTCAAATGTCAACAGATTGCTTTTGAATGGCATTACACACGCCATTATTTTAAATGATATTCTTCCTTCTTTTCACTAAATGGATAAATCGCAAGAAAACCATATTTCTAGTTGACTCATATAATATCTCGATAAATAATGGTTTGTTCACATTTTCATCATCAAATTCTTATTTTTTCAGACAAAAGTGCGAAAAAAAATTTCGAAAAAAAAAACCATCGCATGATAAGTGCACTTTTACCAAAATAACATTGGCAATGTCCAATGATATGACCTCGGATATGACTGAAATGATAATTGCAAAAAATGAGTAGGTCCTCTTCAGGAAATCCACCAATAATTAACTAAGCAGGCATGAGTTGATGACAGCAAATTCTGGAACAGAACCCTGGGGTATTGGGGCACGGAACGCAAAAGAGAAAAACAAAATTCCCGGCAAAATTGAATCACCCTAAAACGGCGCTCCCGACCATCCCAAATAATTCAATTTCCCCATAACCCCTGGTCCGACCGGAAAACGTCAGAGGTGCTTAATTGATGAAATTACCAATACACACGTTCCAGACATCAATATTGCAAGTGCTAGCTAGTTGAATGGCTGTGTGACACCGTAAAATACGGCAAAACCAAAATTAAATTAGCACTTACCTTGCAATAAAATAATCGTCAACAACTTAGGTAGGCAACCCATCGTAATCGTTCGAAAAGTTCGTCAAATTCGTTAATAAACCGACACGCACACTACACTTTTTAAATCCCCATGGTCCGTTAGAAACAGTCTCAAAAAAAAACAACAAAACAGATCATGCACATAACCACCTCATTCAAACATCACGAAACAAAAAGTTTCACCAATATCCTTAGAGCACACAAAGAGTCCTTGCACAAAACATTTGTTTTTTCTTAAGGTAGGTTTGTTTAGAAATTCACGCGTGGACGCTACAGCGTCAAAAGTTCACAAATTCACCCACCTCTAGCAACATCAGCGTGTCGGAGAATGAGCGGTAAAGTGGAGCGGCAAAAGCTCAAACTCGGCGACCGTTAGTAGCGCGTCTACACTAGCGCCCTCTTGCGGGCAACGGAGACAGTGAGAGAGACAGGTAGACACCAGGTAGGTGGTGCTGACAGAGAAATGGACACAATCAACAAGCGCGTCAGAATCGAGGATTTGGAGAGGAAGGCAAAATAATTGTAAGTTGTAAATACCTACTACGATCTATCGTGCTCATAGGCGTAGCAAACGAGGGGACGTGGTGGGTCAAGGCCCAACGCAGAATCAAAATTCATCATTCATCAAAAGCAAGGCACCCCTGAAATAATACACGGTCAAGTCATCGCTACAACTTTTTTTCTTAATGATGAACGATCCCTCATGAAGGTACAAACATGTTTCGTGCTCATATATATGCCCATCATCGGCCAAATACAAAGTTTACAATGACTCAGGATAGTAGAACCATCAACATTGTATTTTACTGCTGATGGGCATGAGTGATCATTGATCATTCTATATAGAAGTTGTGGAGATGAAACCACTCCACTTTGAGTTATCATGGACTTCTTCCGAATATTAATCATAAACATGTTTTTCATCACACGAAAGTCCTCAGAGAGGTTAATGTCATCTAACGCTCAAAACAATCTAGTGTACAAATTTCCATTCAAAAGTATATAACTGCTAACTGATACCTTTATATTGCTGCAACTAATTGTTTTTTGTCATACACGTATATGTCGAGATGATTCATCTCTGTCACCACTAACTCCAGAGTGTCGTCATGATTACAAGATGGTAACTACTTCCACATAGATGGATTAATCTCTGCTTCAATCACTCTACTCCACTCCACTAGGCCAAATATGAATGATCAAAAATATTCTTATTTTTGCAGTTTTGTTATTAATCTCATTTAAGTAGATACTGATCTGTGTAACCAAATTGATCAATTCATGAGTATCATTTTATGCCACAGTTATACTATTACCATTTCTGTGAATAGTGCAAGCAGGTTTTTTCAGTGTAAGTAGGTCGATGGGGGATGCGTTACATCAGCGATACATTTTTGTCCGTGTACTTATACGGTGGTGTTATCGTCGAATATCGAACATCGACTTGAAGCTTTCCCATCTGACCCATCTCTGTAGTTGGATGATCTGTGGTATTTAAGACACAAATTCTTTCAAATTGAATCATTTATCAATCTATTAATTATTTCATAGAAATTATGAATATGGAAGTTGATCAATCCTTGATTCAATGATGGAACTCACTGTGTATAGGTATATTAAAATTTCATTTTTGATACCTATATGTTTAATGTAGGTGTAGGCATCATTACTATCAATCTATGTTTTGAAATATGTTATTTCTATGTTTGATATGATAATAAATAAATAAATAAATGAAATAAATATCTTCCCTCCTTGGTAATTCATGCAAAAACTCACACAGTATCATATAGAAAATTGTATTCGATTTTTTCTTCAATTCGTATAATTTTACTCACTGTAGATGTCTGATAGTTCCCGAAGAAAGGAAATAAATTTAGAATCACCCTGAAACTGAAATGCCAAACATTCAAATAACAACTAACTAATGTATAGTGAGTTATCTCTACAATATACATACAGGGTGACAATTTGAAAACACTCAATATTTCTTAAACCAGAGACACTACGAAAATTTGGCGAAACACGTAAATTAACATATCACAGCATGAATCTTTTGGGGTATTTGTTGTTACATTTCATTCAACCATTACCAATGTAACAACGAATACCTCCAAAGTTATTTCTCTTGATATATAAATTGAACTGTTTCGTCAAATTTTCATAATGTCATGTCATACCTAGTAAATATTGAAATGCCGATCATGTAACCATTGATTTGAGAACAAGGCATTCTCACATGAGTATATACCTATATACCTACCCATTATTTTCGTGAATTATCTTATAATAAAGAAATGATTTCCTCATTCTCATATGAGTATTTGAGAAAGTAGCACTTTTACGTATGAGTTCGTATTTCCCGGAGTAGGCCGGGATTCTCGTCCTGTAATTATGTCTACATCATTATGATAGGTCAAGAGAGGAAGGTATATTTTTATTTTCTCAGAGCTACAAACGCCCACAAATTCCCAATGCTAACAAATAATTTGTCACATCACGCCATTTTTCCAATATTTGACGATGCAAACGTCGAGTCCATCAACAGGTTTTCTGATATATGGATGGCATTTGAACAAAAAATGATAAAATATCAACTTGCTTTTTCCATGCAGCTTTACAATTATTATAAGTTTGTCACCTGGATGAATATGAGGAAGTCAAAACAAACAAAAACATAATTTGTGTATCCGTTTGAGAGTGTATATTCAGTCTGTTAATTTTTTTTTTGAGAATTCGATATTTGCGACAGTTCATATGGTTTTTCGAATAAAAAAACTGAAATTTCATATGCGGAAAAAAGTTATTCGCAGGTAGGAAAACATGTCTGCTTACTAACTATGGCAAGGAACTGAGAAAATTTTATTTGCATGTTATAGAATGCGTCACAGGCGAATTTATTTTAGTTCAAGGTCAAATGCCTCCAAATCGCCAATCAGAATTTTTCCAGAGTGACATCATTATATCACATATCACATTTTATTCAATTTCATTTTCCCTTTTTGTAATATTTGCTATAAAATCATAAAAAATATATATAACAGTTGGAAGAGCAAGTGAAAAGTATTTGAATACTCTTTGAAGATTGACTGAGCAGGTGAATGTTAATTTTTTCTGATTTTTCAAAATTTTTCCCTCTCGTATATTTGAATGACAATCTGAATATAATTTCAATACCCTTATGTGTAATGAGAAGGAATTGTCCCTGATCATTAGTAACAGATTTCTCCCCCTGTTTTATGAAAGTAACATATTCTGAACGCAGGGACATTGTTGTTTTATTATTAATTAATTTTTAATTTCAGAAACTAGGTGGGGAAATCCCAAAGAATCTAGGAAGATAACGAGATTGAAGGAACTTCAATTAAATACGAATAAATCAAAGAATTTCTGAATGAGGTTGAAGTAATGTAAATTATTGTTTTTTATCAAGCAAGGAATACTGACTCATTTCTCAATTTTGCGAAATTATTCAGAGGTTCTCTAATTTATTTCAATATTTTTATATCAATCATTCCATGCAAAAACTATCAGTCTATTGTCCGTGGAAGTGCCTGTACTAGATAACAAAAAAATCTGCAAATAGCGCTTCTTGATATTTTCAAATGACCGAAGGCGCGAGTTTTTACAATAATCAAGGAAATTCTTATATTCACTTCCCTATTTAGGTATATTTTGTGTTTGATATCTGATATTATACTACCTGACATAGTAACATTTGAAAATGATAGACATTTTTCAACTCAAAGTACTGATCCGTTTCGTTTTGTGTCATTGGTGCAGGAAGATTCAGTGTGACATTATATTTTGTAGAACCCCCCCCCCCCCCCCCCGCAGCCTCCCCTAGATGACGTCTATGCTGAAAAGTTTTCATTTTGTTCTGGCACAACTTCTTATACCCTCAACAAAACTTATAGCTACGCTCTTGGCTGTGCTATGAGCTAAAGCTGACTAGACGGTTTTCTCTGTTTGTTTCTTGATACATCTTGGACAATTGGACATTCAGGAAAAAGAATCATCATGAACTTCATGCTACCTTATTTATTCACATCTTCATGAAACATGATTTTTCTTCAATAATTTATTTTTTCTGATGTACATTGCCCGTGAAAATATCTATAGGAAAGTGAGAGGTCGCCGACTTTTCTACGGTGTTCAAATGAGGACAGAGGGTTAGTGAGTGTTCCATCATCCACCAGGCGATTGGCTGTTTTATAGATTGAATCTGAGAGCATCAGCCTATGTTTGGGTGCTGAACCCCATACATGAGTACAGTATTCTAAAGATGGCCGTATCTGATATTGATAAAATCATTATTCAGAGCCGAAATCAAAAAGTAACAAGAACATCACTAGTATATACAGTCTGTCCAAGATAAGGTTGCACAGCATGAGGATCTCGGAAACGGTAGGAGATACGAAGTCGGTTAAATGGGGAAAAAGTTGCGCATTCGGAGGCTCATACCAACAGCCTTCGAAAATTTTCAAATTTTCTTTCAGTTTTTCAGTTATATCGAAAAAAGTGAATTTCTGGAATCTCTATTTTATTTTTTTTCTCCGTTATTATTAGAGATACAAAAAAACTGGAAATATTGTTTCATACCAACTTTTGATGACGATTAACGTGGTGATACCGATTTTTCTATGCGACGTTTCGTATCCGTAGAACCATCATCAACTTTTGTTTTTTAAATACGGCTCTGATAATTCTTTCACAGATTCTGAAAGCTTTTTTATTCTGAATTCAACCATGTATTATACAAGGTGGTTTGATTGTGTTTCGAATTATTTTTAGCCATCATCAATGTTTTTTTCGAAATTCCAAAGGAAAAATGCCATCAGTTCCACTTATTATAATAACAATTTAATTATGACAAGCTCCTTCGGATTAGAATATGAATACAATTCCTAAACAATTCGAAGCGCTGCATTGAATAATTTAGTGGATTCGTTTTTCACTTTTCAGTATTGAATAACTAGTCCATCAATGTTTGACACTGAATAATCAGAAATAAGTGAAACTGATGGTATTTTTCCTTTGGAATTTCGAAAAAAACATTGATGATGGCTAAAAATAGGTCGAAACACATTCAAACCACCTTGTATAATACATGGTTGAATTCAGAATATAATAAGCTTTCTTGCTATGAAAAAGTATTTTCAGTTTTTCTGTATCTCTAATTATAACGGAGAGAAAAAATAAAATAGATATTCCAAAATTTCACTTTTCTCGATATAACTGGAAAACTTGAAAAAATTTTGAAAATTTTCGAAGGCTGTTGGTATGAGCCTCCGAATGCGCAACTTTTTCCCCATTTAACCGACTTCGTA